GAGAATGAGGTATTTGATAAATCTAATAGAATATGACGATTTCTAAGTAAGACTAATTTTAATATACAATTTTGCTTTTTATTTATTTTATTTGTTGTTATTTACTCGAACAATGTAGATTAGTGATTCATTACTTAGGCAAAGTGAACATTACAACAATTTGGCATCCAAGCTTTCTAATATAGGATTTGTAAAGGTAGAACCTGGAAGTGATGAAGAAATCGAGCAATCTACTACTTCTACTACTCCAGTTACTCCTAGAATAAGGCGTAGTATGCGTAGAAGGTCTTGGAAATTTTTTTTGTTTGTTCTTTTTTATTATTATTTGTAAAGAACATAATAATGTTAACTGGCTAATTAATTTATAGAACCAAGGCCAATTATAGTTATCCTCGTTATTCTTACAGTGGCAAAAGATCTAAAACACGTAAACGAAGTCGTACACTTAATAAAGTGTCATCATTATCTGCTACTGAAAATGAAGCCGATGACTTGGAAGTTGTTAATGTTGATAATGAAAAGAACGAGGTGACTAATCCACCTGCACATGAGCTATCTCCTGTCCAAATTAGTGATGGTCAGGAAATGAAAAAAGTTGCTCATAGTGGTCAGGGTAAAGATGATAGTGGGAATATTGATAAAATTATTATCGATAATGAATCGCAAAGCAATTTATACCTTAAACATAATCTTCGTTCTCGAAAAATTCTGCTTAAATTACCAGAAGGTGTATCTAAAGAAACAGAAGAGGGACCTGTTACAGCCCCTTCCAAAAAAACTGCGAGAGCTAAACGATCAGCAAAAAAATCTACTTCAAAGGTAATTCCGAAGAAACCTACAAAGGCAACGCCAAAACGTAAAACAACTCGTCGCAAGTTAATCACTCGTAAGACGAATCAAGATTCTGAATTGCAATCACCGAATGAAGCTGAAAATGAGTCAGGGTTGGAAGATAATAGTGAATTGGGAGTGGGTGTCCCGGCTAAAACTCTTTCAGCTTTAAAGGAACCTACTACTCCAAGGAAGGTGACAACTAGGAGTATTAAAACCGTTGATACAACACTTGAAGCCAGAACTACAAAAAATTCTTCAAGTAAAAAGGTGACACCAAAAACCTCTAGAACCTCAAGCAAAAGGTCTACTACAAAGAGTATTAGAGGTCGAGGAAGAGGTAAAGGTAAAGGCGGTTCTACTCGCGGCTCTAGGACAAAGAACCATGACACTGAATTTAAAGATTCTTCCGGAAAAGAACCATCTAAAATCGAGATCGTTAATCCAACGGAGGTTCCAGGAGTTGAAATTAGCACAGACATTGTGAATCATAATTCAGAAAATCAGGTTGTACGAGAACAATCTGATGTTGAAATGAATAATGCTACTCAAGATGAACCAGAGCAGGTGGAGGAATCAGTTTCAACACCTAACCTTCCAAAGAGAACCCGAAAAAGTACTAGGAGGCTAGTTGGTGGGTCTAAATCTACAAAATCTACTAGTGGTGGCAAACAAAGTCGTGGAAGAAAAGTTGATACACAGGCCGATGATAATGCAGCAAGAGATAATGAAGTAAACATTGAGCCATCAGATAAAGAGGAGGAGACTATCCCTACAACGAAACCAAAAAAGGCCACAAGAAGTGCTAATCGTAAAGGCCAAACTCGTGTTGTTGACAATACTACCACCGAACAACCTCCAGTCCCAGCTTCCGACCCAGATATTGTCGAAATATCCTCAATAAATCCGACGGCTCTTGCAAATGTTGTTAATACGTTAGCAGGACAAAATTATGATATTTTAAGTTCTCCCGAGAGTGCCTCCCCAAATAAAGGACCTTGTACGCCTGTATTCGTAAAACCACATGTTCCTGCAACCCGTTCTTCATCACCTTCTAATACACCTCCACCAGAATTACAAGCAAAATTGACAAAGCCTCCTACTGCTACTCCTAGTTCATTGGAATGGTCAAGGGATCATTGGCATCATCTGAAAGTATTTTATGAAGAAACCAAGAGTGAATATATAAGTTCTGGTAAAGATGTTAATAGAAATAAAGATGTATACAGTAAAGTTATTGAAAAATTTTTTGAGGCTGACATTAATAATAGAACATTTGGAGAGTGAGTAAATAAGTAAATTAATGTTAATTATTTATACACGTAATCAATTCTAAAACATGATGATATTGTCTAGGGAAGATTTACGTTTGCGCATAATTTCATTAGAAACTGCAGACCATGAAAGAAATAACGAACCTTCGAGCGATCAACGAAGTAGTAATATTGAAAACAGTGTTATTCTTTATAATAAAACTTATTCCAATCTCCGGGATAACATTGCCGGAAACAAACGTAAACGGCGTGGATCAAGTATAACCAACGCTGTCCCAGGGGTAAGTTGTTTACTTAATAATTATTTACAAATAAAATAAAACATAGTAAATTTTTTTTTTAAAAAAAAAAAAAAGAAAGAAAAAATGCAAGACGATGAGATTGAAGGCAAAGTCCCCAAACGTTCTCGTGTGGAGGAAAATACTCCTTCGGGGTCTGGTACAACAACACCAGCTTCTGCACCTCAAACGCCCAGTAACAATATGTTGTCGAAATTATTTGGAGGCTGGTTTAATAGTGGTCAAAGCCGATCAAACCCGGCCTCATTGAATGAAGAAGCACCAGAAGATTCGGATAATAATGTTGATGAAAACGAAGACAGGATGGAAGAAGAGCAATCAACCCAAAATTCTCGTAATAGAAGCTGGTTGTGGTAATATAGAAAAAAAGTAAAATAATAATTTAGTAGTATAACGTAGGTATTCTAGTATTTTATTTTTTAAATTTTTTTTTGAAAATTTCATTGAATTTTTTCCTATTATTTCAAAAATATATGTAAAAAAAAATTCTTAAAAAAAAAATACGATTTGTGATATTAATATACATTTACATAATTTATGGACTATAACAATTTATAATTTGAATTTGCGTCATATTAACCGATTTATAAAAATAATAATTGGATTAAAAAGTAATGTGTATCTTTTATTTAAATATGTAAATTTGTTTTTTTTATCAATTTCATGAATTCATCTTCATCAACTTCACCATCACCATTAAGATCAGCTTCTTCAATCATTTCTCTTAAATGATCATCGCTTATTTCTTCCCCCAATTCCTTAGCAACACGTTTAAGATTTTTAAAAGAAATTTTTCCAGTATGATCATCATCAAATGATTGAAATACTTTTATAATTTCATCATTTAAATTTCTTTCAGACTAAATAAATTTATGTTAATTACAATACAAATGAAATGATAATATCAAATAGAGATATGGTAAATACCATTTTATCTGTCATCATTTTATTAAAATTATCAAAGTCAATAGTATTATCTCCACTTTCAGAAGATTGATTTTTAATGTTTGATACCATACTTTTTAATTCCGCTTTTTTAGGAGGGTCAAACCCAAGAGCTCTTATTGCTAATTTAAGTTCTTTTATGTCTATAATGCCTTTACCTTCCGTGTCAAATAAATCAAAAGCTTCACGTATTTCTTCTTGTTGTTCTATTGTTAAGCCAGAATTTATCTTTTGTTTCTTCTTACGTGAAGTGGTGGGTTTTGAACTGGTACTATAAGAGGTAGAGGCTCGTTGCATTGTGATTCCTTTGATTTGACGATTAATAAAACAAGTTGAAGTAAAACGTAAAATTGTACTCGATTAAAGAATTATGTAGGAAACGCGTAAAAAAAAATTTCCGAGGAATTTTCCAAATTTATGAAAGGCACGTGAGCCTGAATGCCGTGTTACTACATTATATAATTCCTATTAAACGTGAATCAGGAAAAAAAAAAAATTTTTTTTTTTTTCCTCCTCAAAGTAAATAATGACTAACGAAGAAAAGAAAACATCAAGTGAAGACATTTTAAATAAAAAGGTGAAAAGGTTTTAAAAATAAATAATCTTTTGGTAATTTAATAATAATAAAAAAAGATTATTTATTTAACTTATTCATTTACGTTTATTAAGTGGGATCTTTGCTTGTCTAACTTATTAGTAAAATCCGGAATTGGACTGAGCGTAGGAATTGTAGCTTCCGCTTTAATATTTAAAAGTACGCGTCTTTTATAATTCTTTTCTTTTTTCACTTAATTCAATTGAAATTCTTTTTCAATTTAACTTTATTAAAAAACTCTTCTTTTTTTTATTTAGAAAAATCTTGGCCGATTGCGATGTCAACAGGCTTTGGTATTGGTGTTGCTTATGCAGATTGTCAAAGGACTTTTAATCCAACTGCGATACCCGGTGTAAAAATAATTAAGCCACCACCATCATAACTTGACATCTTTTTTGATATTTTTTTTTTTTAAAGAAATAAGTTCAATAAATTCACTTTGTTTTTTTTTTTTTACTAATATTTATACACAAATATAAAAAGTCTATTATAAAATACTTTTCTTTATTACTATAATGATAATTCAAATAATATATTTACAAAAATATAAATTGTTACACTTTTTTTTAAAGAAAAAAAAAAGAAAATTTGTAATCATTAATCATTTACTAGATTTACATCTTTAAAAGTATCTTGATGTAGAAGAGGATCGATGTTATTATTTGATACTGTGGTTTTAAGAGGTTCTTCAGAATTCTGATTATTAGTTAATGGAGTAGTTGCAGATTGCTGAGGAGAATTAGGCCTACTTGATTCATTTGAAGATGGCACAACAAATACAGGTGTTGATATTTCTGGAGATGCCGATCGTGCATTTTGCCTTTATAAGGGAACGAATAAATAATTGATTAATCAAGATATCTTTTTCGTAAAGCATCAAAACTTTCCTTAAGGTAAAAAGAGTTGCTTACGGTGTACTTTTTGAAGTGTTTTCACCTCCTTCACCGACAACACGATCACTATCACGACTGTTTTCGTGATTATCATGACCACCTTCGCCATCACCATTATTACTATTAAAAGGAGATCCCAGCGAACCTTCTAAATCATCAACATCTTGATTCCATAAAGGTAACCACCATCCACCTCTACTACCCTCTTCCGCTTTAACAAATCCACGTAAATTTGACAAATGTGAAAGTGCCGTTTTACTTTCTAAATTCGAAAAAAATCC